GCAGGATGTAAATTTGGAACTTTTATTTTATTTTATATTATATTTTATTTTATTTTTTGTTTTGTTTTATTTACGTCAACCACCCGAACTACATGAGATGCAACACAGCCACGGCACTCAAATTGAAAGTTATTTGAATAAATTCACTGTAATGCACCTGTTAATGTTCATTAACAATAATAATAGTTGTCTACATTCGTCGGGGACGTCTATACACAGTTGTTCCATTTGACTAGGTTCTTTAAAACGTGTTTTATCTGTTAAACGTTTCGAAAGCGGAATGTTTCTTCGCCGTATTTTTTCACCACCGGTACATATTAGGACGAACGCAACCAGGAAGCAGTGGACAAACACTGAAAACAAACTGTTTATCAATTTTATTCTATTAAATTAACGCTGGAGGAAGCGATCGCACTGTTTGAACTGTATCTCGTGGTCATGATTATATCTTTCTCATGGGCTGTTTATTTCATGTTCGTGTCTAAGGCTGGTGTGGGCAAGAATTATGGAATAGACTGGTGAAGGTCTGCCGGAGAGATTTCATTTGAGTAAACAGAGCAAAATATACACCGCTAAACACTTTCAGCATGTCGTTTTTATTCTCTGCAGATGGCCTGGACTCTTTGAGATGGTGAGTCTGGTTCTGTAGGGTTACTTAAGGCGTGAAAATGGACTTCTCCAAGTTCCTGGCAGATGATTTTGATGTGAAGGACTGGGTGAATGGAGCTTTTAAAGTGGTTCAGAAAGATGCACCTGGTAAAACAGACGCTCACGCTTCTACTCTGGTCATGAAGCTGCAGCTGTTCATTCAAGAGGTCAATAACTCTATAGAAGGTGAGTGCGGCACCCATTTAAATCACTCTTTCTAATGTCTGAATGTCATTGCATTTGCGAAAATTCTGTAGTGGGTGAGTGTTTGTCTCCTCTGCTCACCAAGGCTGGATTTATTGGCTCAAAAATACAGTAATATTGCGAAATATTTGTACAATTTAAAAGAACTGTTTTCTATTTGAATATATTGTAAAATAAAATTTATTCCTGTGATGCAAAGCTGAATTTTCAGCATCATTACTCCAGTCTTCAGTGTCACATGATCCTTCAGAAATCATTCTAATATGCATCCTTGCTTAAGTTCTGAAAACATATTCTGTTAGGTCTGTCTCTGATTGTATGTGTGTGTGTGTGTGTGTGTGTGTGTGCAGAGAGCAGCAATCAGGCCCTGCAGAATATGCCACGTGTATTGAGGGATATTGAAGCTCTGAAACAGGAGGCGTCATTCCTGAAGGATCAGATGATTCTGGTTAAAGAGGACATCAAGAAATTTGAACAGGACACAGTGCAGTCTATGCAGGTATCAATAAATACACACATTCAAATCAATTTTTTTAAATCTATGCAGCCATTATCCATGCTGACTTTTGCTTTATGCTATGGTGACCATACGTGCCATTTTCCCAGGACGCGTCCTGGCCAGGATTTGTTTTGGCTTTGTTTTCCTGCTTTCATGCTTGCTGAAGGTAATGATCGAAAAGTAGTTTGACCAATAACATGCAAGCATTGTACATAATGGACCAATCATGGCGTGTGAGAAGGTGGGATCTACGGTCAAAGCGATGCAATTACGCGTACGTTACATAGGATGCGTGTTCGACTTAAAAGCAGCGCGGCTCAGATCGATCAGTGTTTGACATCAAAGTGCCTGCCAAAACCTAGATATTTTAGGCAATATAGAAATCCTGACCAGGATGCGTCCTGGGAAAATGGCACGTATGGTTACCCTACTTTATGCAAATGTTGACTTTATATGGGATATATAGTGTAGTCTGTTGTTTGATTTGTGTTGATGTGTGACAGGTGTTGGTGGAGATTGATCAGGTGAAGTCCCGAATGCAGTTAGCAGCTGAAGCGCTACAGGAAGCTGATAAATGGAGCACTCTCAGTGCCGACATCGAGGAGACTTTTAAGACACAGGTGACGAACCGCACATCTGTCTTCACGCACTTCACATGAGTGTGGATGTCAATCTGAAATGTCGATGTGTGTTCGTCTGCAGGACGTGGCTGTGATCAGCGGTAAACTGACTGCCATGCAGGGTAGTTTGGCGATGCTGGTGGACACACCAGACTACAGTGAGAAGTGTGTTCAGCTGGAGGCTCTGAAGAACCGTCTGGAAGCTCTGACCAGCACACAGATCGTCTCCACGTTCAACTCGCTTGCTACAGGTGATGTTATACATCAGGTTTATGCGTGAAGGAACTACATTATAAATTGCATCACATTCATCTACACTACTTTTCAAAAGCTTGTGGTTTCTTTTTTGAAAGAATTGAATACTTTTATTCAGCAAGCATGCGTTAAATTGATCAAAAGTGTCTGTAAATCTGTAACGTTACAAAATATTTATATTTCAAATAAATGCTGTTCTTTTGAACTTTATATTCATCAAAGAATCCTTAAAAAATAAGCAGCACAACTATTTACAACATTGATAATAATCAGAAAAGTTTCTTGTGCAGCAGATCAGCATATTAGAATGATTTCTGAAGATCATGTGACACTGAAGACTGGAGTAATGATGCTGAAAATTCAGCTTCGCCTCACAGATTAAATTAGATTTTAGAATATATTAAAATTGAAAACAGTTATTTCAAATTGTAATAATATTTCACAATGTCACGGTTGTTACTGCATTTTTGATCAAATAAATGTAGCTTTGGTGAGCATAAGAAACTTTTTTTTTTTTTTTAAATATTAAAAAATCTTTCAGAATAATATGCTTTATCATGCCAAGATGTTAATGTTATATTTATATATTTTGTTTCAGATCAAGCAAAGCTTTTTGTAAGAGTTTTTACCGAAATGGACAGAATGCCACAGTTACTGGCTTACTACTATAAATGCCACAAGGTACAATATTTTAATTTAATTTTAAATAATTAATATATATATTTTTTTAAATATTGCTTTAGAGTTATCGTGGAATTACCTGTATTTAAACTGCTGGGAAATATATTTTACTGTACTGCACAGTTTATAAGGTAAAAAGACAATGTTAGAGATACTGATGTTTTAGAAAAAGTATCACCTGAATGTATTTTATTAATCTTTTATTAATCTTCAGTGTTTTATATGTTTTTGGTTGCACTTTTATTTTACAGTACGTGTACTTATGGTGTACTTAAGAAAGTACCTTAGAAATGACTTGTATTATAAGGTATCTACATGGGATAGGTTTAGGTGTAGGTTCAGCGTTAGTACCCAGTTATAAACCAGTTATTGTAATTACAATTATAAGTACATAGTATGTACATCCAGAACAGGACTGTAAAATAAAGTACTATCTATCTATCAATCTTTTTTTTTTTTTTTCGGTTTTCCGACTTTTATTACTCACTTTGTTCTCACCATGAAAATAACCTTGCTGCTGATATGACATTATAAAAATCTATATAATAAACTTGTGTGTGATTAGGCACAACTGTTGAGCGTGTGGGAAAGTATCTGTCAGTCAGACGCTCCTCTGAAGCAGCAGCTGTCTGAGTTTTACGACACACTTCTGTCCACATGGCACACACAGCTCCAGTGGAGCAGTCAGGTACACACACTCTCAGACACACCGCAATATAGTGTTCATGCTTTTACTGTCACGCACACTAAGACATGTGTGTGCAGGTCTTTAAAAACCCCTGTGAAGTGCTCACAGTGCTGATGATCCAGACGTTGGGGGCGATGGTGCCGTCTATCCCAGACTGCATTGCTGTGGCATTGAGGCGTAGCTCAGGCGACAGTCGTCTGGACGTGCTTTTGGAGCTTCATCAGACGGCGGCAAACTTCAGTCGCAGCCTGGAGGCGGCAATGCAACCGCAGCTCGGTGTGTTTGTATGTGTGTGTGTGTGTGTGTGTGTGTGTGTGTGTGTGTGTGTGTGTGTGTGTGTGTACCAAAAAATCCTGTCAGGCATATTTAGAACATGAATCATTAGATGGCATTAAAAGACTCTGTTTAAGGATCACAGTGCAGCCTACAAAAACTAACTGTCAATTTAAATTTTTACCAACCTTTGCCACAATCTTTCAAACCACTAGGTTTTACCCATTTGTCAGCAATACGTTTTAATCATGTAAAATATAATAAAATATTAATATGATCACTTATTATTTTAGATATTTTAATAAGTACAGGTCAGAATAAGTTTTTCTTTTTTTTTTTGATTTCACATTTTTTTATTTTCACAAAAGTTATTTGGAACATTAAAAAGTAGACACCTTATTTGCATTTAATATGCTTTTATGTATACAAAATCACTTTTGTAAATGTAATTTGATGCGAATACTAAAATGGGACATCTTGTCTGTGGTGCATTATAAATAATGGGTATATATATATATATACATACATGCATGCATAAATACATATAAATATATAAATACATATATATAAATATGCAATATGACATTACTTTCAGGATACTTAAGCACATTCCTTCTATTCTCAGTAGCTTACTGCAATGCAAAAAAAAAAATCTCATTACTCTAATGCAAAAAAATATGCTTAACATTTGTGTTATAAGATTTAAGTTGTAGAAAATAATTGTAAATGTACATATTTACAGTAATGAGTTATTTTTTCACATATTGAAGAGAATTTGGGGAGAAATTTGCTTAATTGTTGAATTTGCATAATTATTATTAAAATTTTTACAAATGGTCATTTATTTTATTTAAAAAATTTATACAATTTTTCTTTAAAATATCTATAATTTCCTTGTGTATTTATAAAAAAAAATACAAGTTATAATAATTTATAACAAATAAATACACATTATTAAATAATAAAAAAAGTTAAAAACATGTCAGTTTTTGTATAAGTCTTTGTATATGCTTTTTGTGAATGTGTGAGATTTTTCTCATATTCTTGTCTTTATGTGCGTGTTTCAGGCAAGTGTAACCTCTTGAAGGTGGCAGAGCTGGTATCTTGTGTTTATTCACCTTATAAGACTTATCAGATGCAGTACGGAGAACTAGAGGAGACGAACTTACTGATCCAACTCAGTGCTGTTCCTCTGGTGAGTGAACAGAAGCTTTCATTTTTGATCTTGCACCAGTACACAAAATATAAGCCTTTGGCCTACAAATACATTTTGTTTTTAGTTTGTGAAATTATTTTTTTACCCAAGTTGTGAGTTTCTGGTCTAAACTAAATGAGATGAGGCATAAAAAGGTAGGGTACTGAGAAATATTACAAAGACAGTAAATAAACAACACTTCCTCCTGTTGTGTTGTCTTCATTGACTGCATGTTGTCTGATTTGCAAACAAGTGACTCTTATGTGTCTTTTATTCATTGTGTGTGTGTGTTAGGAGCGTGGTGAGGTTCTGGACTGCGTGTTAGAGCTCACACACTCGGTTCAGAAGGTGTTTGGTTTGGCGGCGGCTGCCGTGGATCGCTGTGTGAAGTTCACTGATGGACTCGGCGTGTGTGGGCTCATCAAAGCCCTGCGAGCGCTTTTCAGCAAGTATGAATCATACACGCATTTACTACGCTCACACACAGAGACAAGCACACAGCCCACAGGTCAGCTGCACTCTCTAGCGGATTCTCTTTTGTTCTCTCTCTCAGGTACGTGGCAGACTTTTCTGTCACGCTTCAAAAGTTTTATGTTAATGGAGGTATGTACAGTTAAATAAAAGTATATAAATCATCTGTTTGTTCTTCTAGAATCATTGCAGCCTGTGGAGAGCTCCTCAGACAATGTGGAGCATTTGAACAGCAGCTTTCAAACAAGTAAGATGTGTTAAAGAACAAATTTGCTTTATTTATTAATTAAATTGTCTTTACTTAAATTATTAAATTTACCTTTAAAATGGCTGTTACACTATAATTATATAATTAATATAATATAAAATATAAAAAAATGTATATACATTTTCATTAAAATTATTTTAATTATATATATATATATACAGTGGTGTGAAAAAGTGTTGGCCCCCTTCCTGATGATTAGCTGATTGGCATGTCACCATATTCTAATTTGTTGAGATAGTGAATTGGTGGGTTTTTGTTAAATGTGAGCCAAAATCATCACAATTAAAAGAACCAAAGACTTAAACTACTTCAGTCTGTGTGCATTGAATTTATTTAATACACGAGTATTTGAGTTGAATTACTGAAATAAATGAACTTTTCCACGACATTCTAATTTATTGAGATGCACCTGTATATACAGTGTATATATATATATATATATATAATATGTGTGTGTGTGTATGTTTATCAGGGTTATTATCAACTAAAACCATGAAAACAAATGTAATTAACTAAAATAAAAATTTTTTTGTATATTTCCCATTTTTGTAAATTGAAGTACTAAAATAACTAAAACTAAATAAAAAACTAAAACTTGATTAACTATATATACAAAATAAAAATGAATTAAAAATCTTAACAAAAAACTATATAGTATGTAAATAATACCAAAATAACACGTATCTATATATATGTATATATATTGTGTGTGTGTGTTTGTGTAAGTAAATAATAATTATACAAATTATATAATCATATAAATAATGTATAATTATTAAGTTTTTCCTGTCGTGTATCACGTCTGCATTGTGATTGGCAGGATCTTGGGAAGGGCGGGGCGTTTCCTGTGGGAGGGGTTTAACCCCAGAAGTTTGACTGGCCTACAAGAGGGCGTGGCTGAGAGGCGGAGCCAAAAGAACCCATGGCAGGAATACAACTACCTTCAGCAGACTAACATGGCCGAGTATAATACTCTACTGGAGACGCTGCACTCCCTGAAGGTTTCACTTCATATATGTGTGCTTTGAATGTGTTGCTTTCATATTCTAGAAGTGTAAAACTGAAGTTTGTTTTGTGCAGGAGAAAGGAACAGGAAACTCAAGCTTATTGGCTGAGACTCGCGGCGCTCTGACGCGTCTGAACCAGCAAGCCAATCAGCTGGCGTTTGACTCTGTGTTCCTGCAAATCAAGCAGCAGCTTTTCCTTCTCAACAAACCAGAGGTTTGCACAGCTTTTTTAGGTCACTATGAAGTGTCAAAAATAGAGTGTTTCATGTTTGATGCATTGTGTTTTTGACTTTTGAAGGGCCGCGGCTCTGCTAATTTGAGTCAAACGCTAACTGATGATCTACCGGCCTTCAGTTTGTCACCGCAGGAGTACATCACTAATGTAAGACAATATTAACACATCATCTGAGTGTTAGTCCATGTCCTGATGATGTCGAACATGATGACAAATGATCACAAGACACTTAAAGAGACAAGGACAAACACAAGCCACATGTTCACTGGATAAGATGAAGGTTAATAGTTGTAATTAGACTCTTTACTGTAGATACCTTCACACTGCACACTCGTTTGTGCAAATTTGTTATACTGTAGTTTTTATATATTTTATTTTTATATTATCTGTTTATTTTATTTTTGTTTAAATATGTATAGTTTTAGTTTTTAGCTTTATTTGATTTATTTTTTTAATATATATTAAAATAAATATACATTATATATATTATATGTTTTATTTTATTTATTTAATGTTTGTATTATATATAATACTTATATAATGTTTTTATTTTATATAATGTTTTTATTATATAAAATACTTTAACTGTATATATATTTATATATAAGTATTTTATTTTAATAAAAAAGTTTATTTTATTTTATTATAATGAAAATGAAAAATAATAACTCTGATCTTTATACATTCTGGTTATATAGTTGTGCACTCATTTGTGTGTGTGTTTTGTCTATAGATCGGTCAGTATATCATGTCTTTGCCTCTTCATTTGGAGCCGTTTGTGACTGCGGAGGATCCAGCGCTGGAACTTGCGTTACACACTGGCAAACTGCCGTATCCTCCAGAACAAGGTGAACCCAAGCACACGACCCAGGGTTATGTGAGATAAAGCTGTTTCACACACACACATGTATGATGTCTGATGTGTCTGCTCTCTCTGTAGGTGACGACGTCCCTGAGCTGGAGAACACGGCAGATTATTGGCTGGGTTCTATCGCCAGGGCGACCATGCAGACCTATTGTGATGTCATCCTACAGCTTCCTGAGCTCAGCCCGCATGCAACCAAACAGCTGGCAACTGACATAGGTGACCGCATCATTACATCATGGCACCATTATCACCAACATAAATTCATATGTAACACTTACTCACAATGAAACTACAAAGCTCTAGTGGCTTTGTTTTTATTATTATTATTATATAACATCAAGATTTTCAGTTAAAATGTATGTATTAAGGTATTATAAGTTTTTTGAGCCATGATTTTTTTTGCCATTTTGTAAAATGTATTTTTGCCTTCACTTGTTAATTTTAAATTGTCCTGCAGTGTGACAAATTATTATATACACACACTATATATTCATATATATTGAACATTAATTTACTCAGACAGTCACACACACACACACACACACTCACCCACCACACAAACCACACACACACACACACATATATATATATATATATATATATATATATATATATGCACACAAATATATAATTTTCTGTCTCTCTCTGTATTATTTTAAATCTGTGTATGTGTTTGTCTAATTTTAGTATCATTAGTACTATCATAGTTTTTGTTCATAATTTAAATAAATATCATTTTTATATTTTCTGTTTTCATTTTAGTTTAGTTCAGTTTTAGTATTTTTTTTTAATACATTTGTAAAAATGTTTACTCCAACGTATACTAAACAAATATGAAGAAATTTTGCTGACAAAAGTTCATTTCAGGTAATGTTAAGGAATTAGTTTTTTTATTGTTTTAGTTAATAATAACAACCCTGAGAGATAAATTATATATAATCTCTTATTAATGTATAATTTATCAATGTATAATTTTTTTTACATTTATAATATATATATATATTTTTTTAAAGACTAAAAAAAAATTTTATGTAATTTTTACAAATAAGCCTATGGAAAAACAGGCCTTTTGTTTAATCCTTAGAACTGGTTTGCCTATTTTTTTTATAATATAAACCTTGTTTTTAAAAGCACTTGTGTATGTGTTTTATTGTTGTCATTCCAGATTACCTGAGTAACGTCATGGATGCGCTGGGGTTGCAGACCTCTAGAACCCTCCAGAATATGGTCACCCTTCTTCGTGCCAAACCGGACGAATACCGGCAGACAGCCAAACCCCTCCCGCGCAGACTGGCCTCCACCATCGCCACCATGAGGGGTCTGGAGTACTGACACCATCACCGGCCATGGATGCATTTGTGTTGAAGGGTTTTCATTGTTGCCGAAACAAACGCCAAAATGTGACACTAAACAGATCTAATATTTCTCAGCAAACACAAATCTATAAATGGCACTTTTTGTAAATTGTTTTTAACAAATTTTAACAGAAGTTGGTGGTTTGGGAAAATAAAACATAGTCTAGGACTAAATTGTGCAGAAAAGAACAAGTTACAGTGATTCAGTTTTGGTCTTGCTGGACTTTCTTCTGCTTATTGTTGACTCCAGGAATTTAGTTGAAATGCCAGCTGGTTTATGCAGTTAGTTGTTGCATATTTATTTTTTTGTGTTTTGCTTGTTTGCCATTATTTCTCTTGATCAGTAATAAACGTGAGTGCTCTTGTGTTTCTGGTTTATCAGGCTACATGGTAACTAATGCTTTCGAATGCATTTTCACGTCTGGTTTTCTGACTTTGTATTTCTGTTTTCTTTGCTCACATGGAGAGTTTCATACAGCATTTTCTGATCAATTCTGTTCATTTGATAAAATAAAACACCTGAACAGATTTAAGTGCATTGTTTTGTGTTTTACAGTACATCATAATATCACAAGCCAGATTTGATAAGTTTTGCAGTGCAAAATTTTGGAAAAACAATTTTCAACATTGCAATATTAAATCTCAAGAAATGATCTAATTACCCCTGGTCTTGGAATGATGTTTTATGAAATTCAATATTTTTTATTAGTACATATTTTATGTGTTCACAAAAAATATACTGTCTTATCGGTCAAAAGTCTGGGATTAGATTCATTATTATTATTTTTTTCTTTTTTAAATCTCTGCTCACCAAGGCTGCATTTATTTAGTCAAAAATTGTGAAATATAATTGCAATTTCAAAGAACTGTTTTCTATTTGAATACATTTTAAAATAATTTATTTCTGTGATCAAAGCTGAATTTTCAGCATCATTACTCCAGTCTTCAGTGTCACATGATCCTTCAGAAATCATTCTAATATGCTGCTTTACTGCTCAAGAAACATTTCTGATTATTATCAATGTTGAAAAGTTATGCTGCTTCATATTTTTGTAAAAACTGGGAATTCAAGATTCTTTGATGAATAGAACGTTCAAAAGAACAGCATTTGTTTATTTTAAATATTTTGTAACATTATAAATGTCTTTACTGCTGCTTTCGATCAATTTAATGTGTACTTTCTGAATAAAAGTATTAATTTCTTTAAAAAAAAAAAACACTGTCCCCAAACTTTTGAACGGTAGTACATACTGTGCATAATATGTGGATTTGCTGAAAGGTTGTACTGCTTCATAATTTTTGCGAAAACTGATTTTTTCTTTTTTTTGATTCTTTGATGAATAAAATGAGGAAAATATCAGCATTTATTTGACATAAAAATGTCTTTACTGTCAATTTAATGACCTTTATGAATAACAATAAAAAAAACTTTTACTGACCCAAAACTTTTTTCTTACTGACATGTTTCATATTGGCAAAAAAAAAGAAAAAAAAAAGGAAAATATCTTCCAGAATGGATGCAAGTGTTAATGTGCATTAATACATATGAGGTCTCTCTCATGAAGAAAAACACATCAATGTTGTTAATCACTTTAATCATATTGATTACTGATCATGTTGATTGATCGGGATGATTGGCAGTGGTCAGAGAGGTGGTGATTGCATATCTGTAATTCAAGTACATCAAATCAAACTTAATACACAAGAAACAGTGATCAAACTGACATTGTATACAAGAGCAGGCACAGTAAATCGAACAAGAAGAATTAGATGCAGACAGATCTACCATTCCAAATCATCTTAAGAGGGCAGTGTGCTTCAATGTGCGTGAAAGACTCAACTTGTCCTGAAAACAAAACCAACATGTTTGAGAATAACACAAAATCAGACTGGCGTTTGCCTGTGTGGATATGCGTCGTCATGTTCCTGCTTGAAGCATGCTCTAAAATATTTATTCAGTGTTACTTTGTGACCCTTGGACCAGAGTGGTGTTTAATGCCTTCTAAAATAAAACCAAACACAGGCTTTTTTTTATATTCATAGCGAACAACAAAGTGGTCATAAAAATATGAACAATCTTCGAAATGGAACAAAGTGATGAACTCAGATCAAAAAAACTGTATAAAATATAAATTATTCAATAATTTGATAATTATAAACAAAAGCATTTATAAAACTATAAATATGCACAACTTTGAAAAAACAAAGACCTATTGGGCTAAAAGGTTTCATTCTGGGCTGGGAACGGTCCGTGACCCAGCACCGGTCGAGACATCTCGTTTTCGCTTGGCAAGTTTTCGAAAATATAAGCTGTGTCATATTGTCTTTCTCCAAAAGGTCGCATGTCCGCTTCCACCATATATCACAAGCTGATGATATCAGCACACCCGAAATATCACAAACCGTCCCTCACACCAGACACCGGACCGCTGCCTGCTCGAACCATTGCCATATCTCACATTCACTTCGTCGACTTGCTAATAGAAGATGCTTTTCATCTACAATATCAGTGACAAGACAGTCAAGATTTTTTTTTCAAGGGTAACTGGCTGCGAGCATCCATATTTTATCTTCTATCTGCCGTCACTGAGAGAAAAAAAAAAAACATATTGCAACATATGCAATATAAACCTTGACTCATTTGCTTGTAAAGTTGAATCTGATTAAATTACTGAAAATGATTCATGTGATTCGCCTGTCATGTAGCCTATAGCTAAAGCGCCTGGAATAAGACTCTCACTAATTTTTGCACAATCTTGAATGATATGAACAAGTTTGTAAATGCCCTTGTGTTAAATGCTAACAGATTAGCTGCAGTGCTAAAGATGCTACTTGAGTGAGGCCCGTCTGAAGCAAAAACTCAACTGTGATGATTTTCATTAGCTTATAGCTAAAGGTTTATCTTTAGCCTGGTGTCTTGAGTACTAAAAAAAGCTTTTATGATAAATATGTTGTGTAAAACTGAACAGATAACAGATAAACACATTTAACTTAACCCGTGATGCTAAAGCTTAGCTTTAAACTGGTGTACTGATAAGCAAAAACAACTTCTATGATGTTGTGTAAAACTGAGCATTTATAACACCAGATTAGCATAAATTAGCGATTTTAATTCTGTAGCCATTGTTATGGCAACAGATAAACATTTAACTCAACTGTAATTTTCATATTAACATTAGCCTGGTGTCCTGAGAACCGAAAACTAATTCTATGATAAACATGTTGTGTAAAACTAATTTCAGGACACCAAATTAACATGATCAGAGTTAGCAATTTTAATTCTAATTAATTTTAATTCTGTAGCCTGGGATGTTTCACATTAGCCTAATGCTAATTGCTAAAGGTTTAGCTTCAGCCTGGTGTCCTGAGATACAAAAAAAAAAAACTTCTATGATAAACAAATTGAGTAAAACTGAAGATTTTAGGACACCAAATTGATTGGAGTTAACTATTTCAATTCTGTATCCTGTATTATAGATACCAGATAAAAATTGAATTCAACTGTGATGATTTGCATTAGCCTTAAAGGGGTCATATGATGCGATTTAAATTTTTCCTTTCTCTTTGGAGTGTTACAAGCTCTTGGTGCATAAAGAAGATCTGTAAAGTTGCAAAGACTAAAGTCTCAAATCCAAAGAGATATTCTTTATAAAAGTTAAGAGTCAACCACACCTCCCTAAAATGCCTCGTTCAAACACGCCCCCACATGTCTATGTCACGATGTGGGAAGATTTGCATAACGCCGCCCAAATGTTCACGCAAAGAAAGAAGGCGTAACTTTTATTCTCGCTGTAGTATTGTTGCCGCTGCCGCCATGTCCTGAAGACGCTGTGTGCTTCGTTGTGAAAGCGAAACTACTTTGTTTGGTCTTCCAAAAGAGGACGATATCCGCTTCGTCATGCCTAGAGCTGATCCGTGCTGGTCGCTGAGGAAATACATCAACTTCGTGCTGTGGATCGCCGGATCGGCTTTCACCATGGACGAAGCGGAGTCCAGCCCGGGGTCGTCACATGTGGTTGCCGCAAGCCCGCCGGACGCTCCTTCGTCGAATCCGCCGGCCGCACCGTTCTCAAGTCCGCCGGCCTCTGCTCACTCAATCCGGTCTCCGCATACTCTAGGCCAAGCGTATGTGACGCTGTTTCGTTGTGAAAGCGAAACTACTTTGTTTGGCCTTCCAAAAGAGGACACGACTAGAAATCAGTGGTTAAGTTGTATTTACAACACTGTTCCAGAAGCATCATCACAGTATGGTAAGGAGCGTAACATTTCCGTCACACGCTTGAGGTATTCGGCCAATCACAACGCACTGGATAGCTGGCCAATCAGAGCACACCTCGCTTTTCAGACCGATAAGCTTTGTAAAAATCGACGCGTTTCAGAAAGGCGGGGCATAGAGGAGAAACAATAATGTACAGTATGTGGAAAATAATGTGTTTTTTGAACCTTAAACCGCATAAACACATTTCATTACACCAAATACACAAAATATTGTTCTTTTTAGCAGCATCATATGACCCCTTTAAGCTAACTGCTAAAGGTTTAACTTTATCCTGGTGTCCTGAGATACTAAAACAACTTCTATGATAATCAAGTTACACCAAATTAGCATGATTAGAGTTAGCAAATTGTAATTATATAGCCTATGTTATAGAATGAGAGATAAACCCATTCAACTCAACTGTGATGTTTTATATTAGCCTAAAGCTAAATTCTAAAGATTTAGCTTTAGCCTGGTGCCTTGAGACCCAAAACAACTCATACGATAAACAAAAATATGAAAATTGGGTGGTGATTTTAAGACATTGAATTAGCACGATTAACATTAGCAATTCTAATTCTGTAGCCGATGTTACAGAATGACAGATATGCATATTTAAAGTCTTTCTCTTCTGAGTTTATTCATATTCAAGTGTTTTCATTGCTTTCGCCCACTGTATAAGCTATCAGCTGTGATTTTGCTAAGCTAAAGGCTAAAGACTATTGGCAAGGGACGAGCCCAGTATCCTAAGTGTCCTAACTTCCTGTTTTAACAGGAAACACTTCAACAAATTACAGCAAAATGCCTTTCATTGGATCTTGAAAACAATCAGACGAGATGAAAATGAAAAATAGCTGCACGGGCAGGCAGAGGTCTGGTGCGGAACTGAGCATTCATATTTTTCACCTGAGATTAGAGACACGAGGCCTCTACAAAAACACAGTTTTCCACACTGCATCCGTTCGTAAGGAAGACACTGAGACTGATACGAGTCTCCACTTTGCCTTGCTACATTCTCCATCGAGCAGATCTCTGGATTATCATTCATATTATTGCCAATGAGAGCAGGTGAACTCAAAGTGAGAATGAAACGCTATCAGCCCCGAGGCATGTGGGAAAAGCCGCCGTATCCCGCTTACAGAGGATTCTAGCATCAGCACAGTTGTTATCATGGCTACAGAGGGAACTAATGTTGTACGCAAACAAACATTAGCCGAACACTTCAGGTCTACAATAAGAGACGGGATGGACGACTCCTTCGGCAAACAGA